GGGTTCAGGGTATGTAGGGTTTAGGGTTCAGGGTTTGCTTAGGGTTTATGTAGCTCCTTTTCAGGCTTTTATTGATACCCAATACGCCCAAGACACAAAACAGCTACGCCCTAGACCCTAAAACCCAAACCCTCTTGCAAGTTCGCAGATGCATGCAACATGCCCAGAGACTCCAATATCCCTTAATTAAGGAATATACCTGAAACCATATTAAGGGTCCAACTATAATTTCAGGTATATTCCGTAATTAAGGGATGATATTGGAGTCTCTGGGTACTTCGGGCCCCATGGCGCCAGCTCCTTCCTCTCTTCGGGTTAGTTTGGAGCTTGACAGGAGCTGTGGTTCATTCAGGGTGTAGGGTTTAGGGCTTGGGGATGCGTAGGGCGTAGGGCTTACATAGTTTAGGAAACCCTAAACCCTAAACCCTAAACCCTAAACCCTAAACCCTAAACCCTAAACCCTAATAGGGTTCAGGGTGGAGGGTTTGGAGTCTAGAGTGGATAGTTTGGCGTTGAGCGCTTAGGGTTGAAGGGCTTAAGCTGCACCGCACCCTTGTGAAGCCCGGACTGTCCCTAAACCCTAAACCCTAAACCCTGAAGCTCTACGGTCCTACAACGTCTGAGGCACCAGAAATGCGAGAAGAGGCCTTGCAAACGTTTTTGTTCCTGCTGCCCCTCCCTTTGCTTAAGATGTAAATTCAGGGTTTATCGGCTTTTCCGGTGCCTCCGCTACGCCTAGTGCCTGCAGCTCCCAAATCCACACGCGCCGGGGCACAGTGCAAGTCAAAAGTGATCAGGAGTCAAAGGAGGTTCGTCTTGTTGTGTTTGGGGTTTCGGTCCCTGCGTGTTCTGGAAGGGAGCTTGGGTGCGCAAGGAGCAGTTTAAGGTTATTCCTTACCCTATGGCGGTTGAAGGCCCTCTGCAACCTGGCCTCTGACATCCGCAAGGGCTTACCCAGAGACTCTAATATCCCTTAATTAAGGAATATGCCTTAAGTTATAGTTGGATCCTTAATATGATTTAAGGTATATTCCTTAATTAAGGGATATTGGAGTCTCTGGGTATGTTTGACAGTTCCGTTGACCTCCAAGCCCAAACTGAGAAAAACATATTCGAAGCATCCAGGTCCAGGGGCTGTGGCAAAACCTCCGCCGACGATTGTCGATCAATATAGGGGCCTTAGTAATTACCTATACTATTCTGGGGGCTCTTTATCAGAATTATGGTATAATGGGCCCCAAACATTGATTCTAATTTTGAAGGCCCCTATATTACAGCAACAGAACCTGCGCCCTCGACTCAGACTTGTAGAACCCGATCCTCGCAAGCCGCAAACCATCCAAACTGCCACAGACCCTTTCCGCTACCGCCCTAAGCCTTCTCACCCCTCCCTTAGGGTTTAGGGTTTAGGGTTTAGGGTTTAGGGTCCACCATAAACCTTGAGAGTGGCGTGAGGGAGTAAAACTGCCGGCGGTTACCCTAGCACCTGCACCATCATTCCTATCGATGATCAATGCCTCTGTCTTAAACCGTTATAAACCCTGAACCCCTAAACCCCCAAACCCCAAACCCAGAAACGCCCAAACCCTAAACCTACCTCGACCCCCCAACTACCCTTTCTTGCCCCCTAGTCGCCCACGTTTTTTGGGACCATATGGGGCTCCCCTAGTCCCCTAAACCCCAAACCCCGAAACCTTAAACCCCAAACTCCTGAACCCCGGAACCCTAAACTCCGAAACCCTTATAAACCCCGAACTCCTAAACCCCTAAACCCCAAACTCCAGAATCCCTATACTCCTAAACCCCTAAACCCCTAAACCTTAAGCCCTAAACTAAACCCCTATAAACCCCAAACTCCTAAACCCCTAAACCCTAAACCCTCTGTCAGGACTTCGACCTCCTCTTGGACATCGAAGCTGCCTTTGCCGCCTGGCTGCTCTTCCCTCACCGAAAACTCAGAGCTAAGGACTTCGGGCTTAGAGGGGTTTAAGGTTTAAGGTTTAGGGTTTAGGGGTTTGGGGTTTAGGGCTTTAGGGTTTAGAGTTTAGGGCTTAGGGTTTGGGGGTTTAGGGCGTAGGGTTTAGGGCTTAAGGCTTCGGGTGTAGGGTTTAGTGTAGGAGATCGTTTTGGGGTTCAAGAGTGACGTCTTAGGGCTGCAGGGTTTCAAGGGCATCCTTTAAGAGATCAGTAGTAATGGTTTAGGGCTTGAGGGCTTCAACGAGGTCCTGTCGGGGGCATGAGGGATCAGGGGTCTATCGACTTACGATCCTACAGGTAAGGGATATGAATAAACCGTGGGTTAAGCTAGCTACTAAGGCCCCTGTATTCCCGGGGGAGTCCTTTCAGAAGGGGTCCATGTCATAATCGCCCCCGCACCCTTCAACCCGACAAAGCTTTAGGGGTGTACTGAGAGAAGCATCAGACTTAGCAACTAGGGTCTTAAAGGTAACTCTAGTCATATTTACCTATGATTCCAATGGAGGAACTTATAAGCTTATCTAAGTCTCATGGCCCGCGAAGTAGGGTTCCATTTCCGGCTCCACATGTACCCAAGACCTTGCGGCTGAATGCCCAAGCGCTCTTTAGGTTTTAGGGTGTAGGGACGTGTGATATACGAGCTTAAATTATTGCATTTTTTTTTTGTTTTTTTTGGGTGGTCCTTGTTATGATTATAGTACAATGGGCCCCAAAACCCTATTCTTATTATTAAGGCCCCTAGGTTCAGGGTTTTTCACTTTGAGCTTTTGGTTTCAGAGTCTCGAAGTCTGCTCTTTGAAAGCCTTCGAGCTTGACTTGCTGTCGCAGACCCAAAGGCTCCATGTACCTTTAGAGTAGATACTTAGGCCTTACAGTACCTATATAGGGACCCCTTTAAGCCCAAAGTACTGACTATAAAGGTACATGGAGCCTTGGGAGAGTGTAGAGTCCTGCCTTGGCATTCGGCGTCGGAGCGCGGGGTTGGGACAGCTGCTTTGGATGATTCAGCATTTGGGATCGAAGGTTTCAGGCTTTCAGTCTTTTATTCTCAACCCTAAACCCTAAACCCTAAACCCAAAGAGTTCAGGGTTCTGGGGCTAAGGGTTTAGGGCGGGAGCTATGGTCGTAGGTCTGGCGTTTCAGGGATGATGCATTTGTAGCTTCAGCACTGGTCGTTCCGGGAGTTGGGAGATGTGGGCCTATGGGCTTTGTTGAGCATCTCAGGTTCACGAAATAGTTGGCACATGTGGTGCCCATGCAATGATTTGCCCAGAAACACCAAGCAGTTCCTAAGCATCCTATCGTACATATCGGAATTCTCCGTCATCGTACCCCCTCAGTTGTTATAAAGTTAAAGCCTACTGTACTACTACAAGTGTATTAGGCCCCACAGCCCCGTTCTAATTATTAAGCCCACTCTGCCCTTGCTTGGCTGGTAAGCAACATCTGGGTAGTTGTCAAAATTATGGTCCCTTTTGGGGCACCCTAAATAATAGGTGCCGTATTATAATAAGGACCCAAAAAGGGACCATAATTTTGACAACCACCCATCTGAAAGGCTCCCTAAACCCCTAAGCACGATTGGGCTTGAGATCCGGGCGTACGGAGAAAGGCCACTGCATGCCATTGCATTTGACTATAAACCCGAAGCCCTAACCCTAAACCCCAAACCCCAAACCCTAAACCCGAAACCCCAAACCCTAAACCCTAAACCCTAAACCCTAAACCTAAACCTAAAACCCTAAACCTCTGACCTAAGTAAGAAAACCCGAGGGTGCAGAGCTGCCAGCGGCTCCAACACGGCGCCGGCGATCGGAGCCGTGGGCGCGGCTGAGGCCGCAACGCCAAGGTGCTCTCTTGACTTGACTTAGGGCTGGGGTTTGCTGGGTTTAGGGTTTAGGATGTCGGGTTTCGGGTTTAGGATGTCGAGTTTCGGGTTTAGGATTTCGGGTTTAAGGTTCAATTAATTAGAGTTTTCCGACCCATTCTGAAGATGATGGTTGTGCTTTGAGATTTCGGTGGTGGTGCCGGTGACGACGATGAGCAGCTGCCTGCTGAGCTAACGGTCATGGCGACGACGACAACGATGCTGATGATGAGGCGGAAAGCAAATATACTATGCACACATAAATCTTTACTTCTTCTAATTCTGTATACATATATATATATATACACACACACGTGTACAAAAAACAATGACAGATCGATAGATAGATAGATAGATAGATAGGTAGACAGATAGGTAGATAGATAGATAGATAGATAGATAGGCAGATAGATGCCAGGTCGCCAGCTGGCTAGCTAGCTAGCTAGATAGATAGCTAGATAGACGGATAGATAGATACATGCTAGCTAGCTTGCAAGCTTGCTAGCTTGCTAGCTAGATAGGTAGGTAGATAGGCAGATAAATAGATATATATATATATATATATATATAGAGAGAGATAGACAGGTACATAGATAGATAGATAGATAGATAGATAGGCAGATAGCTAGACAGAAAGGTAGATAAATCGATAGATAGCTAGGTAGATAGCTAGATAGATAGCTAGATAGATAGGTAGATAGATGGAGATAGCGAGATAGCTAGACAGATAGATAGATGGATAGATGTATGTATATATATATATATTTCTTTAGTTATAGTTGTTTATTATAGTTATAGATAGAGATACAGTAACTGTACAATATACATCTAAATATACATATATGTAAATATGTTTATGTGTGTTTATATATACACAGATATAACGCATGGTTTTCATGGAGCGAACCCCGGCTCAGCAGCAAAGCCCAAAGCTGATTACCGAGACTTCGGTTCAATCGCCCAAACCGCACGAACGACAAAACTCGAAGGTGGCCTTTTTAAAACTTAGATCTTATGCTTAAGCGCTCAAACCCGAAGCCCCTTGAGGAGGCTTTACTTCCCTCTCGGACGTGCCGGACGTGCCTGTCAGCATCGACGGCAGCGCCGCCGCAGGCAGATTCTGCATCGCCAACGCCCCTAGGTTACCTGTACCCCGAAAGACCGGCATTGCCGGGGGCTCCTTACTGTTGACCCAATGAAAAGCCTCTGAGCATCAAGTAAAGCACTTTTGTGAGTCAGAGGTTAATTGCGATCCCCGAGACCCAAGATGAAGTGATTTAGGATTTGACAGGCCTGTTGTCATGGTTCGTGTCGTGCTTGTGTGCGGTAGGGTTTGCATTTAGGTTTCGGTGTTAGTTTGTGCCTACTACACATGCACATCTCTCGATCGAACGATCTATGCATCTGTCTCTCCATCCATCCATCCAGCCATCCATTTATTTACCTATCGATCTATCTGTTTATCTCTCTCTACCGATCTGTCTGTTCATCTGTTTTCGTCCTGCGGTCTGTCTACAATTTGTTGCGTTTAGATTTGCCTGTTTATCTATTTGCCTGTCTGTCTGTATGTCTGTCTGTCTGTCGGTCTGCCTGTCTGTCTACCCGTCTATCTGTCTATGTACCTGTCTTTATATGTATATCTACCTATCTATCTATCTATCTGTCTACCTATCTTTGCATCTATGTGTCGATCTTCACATTCATGTATACTTTCTGTGTGTATATATATATATATAGATGTACATTCGTGTACGTTTATCTCATTAACTACTTGCCAATCTACCTATCTGTCGATCGACCGATTGCTTCTAATGGTCATGTATCGGCCTGTCTTCTATCTATCGATCTATCTATTTATCTATCGGTCTATCTATCTATCTAACTATTTATCTATCTATCTATTATCTATCCACCTAGCTGCCTACCGATCTGTCTACCTATCTATCTATCTGCATGTCTATCTATCTATGTATGTATTCGTTTTCCTGTCTATCCGTGTCTCTACCTACCCAGTTCCATGTTTCTGGCGGTTATCTATCTACGAGCACCTACACACTCATAAACATAAGTTCCTTTAAGCCCTGCAACATCAATAATTTGACCTAGAAAGACCTGCAACAACCCGATGTCAGCACACACTTGTATATAGCCCTTATATCAAGATGCGCTAGCCTTTTAATCGACGCCTACTTTATAGCAAGATTCACATCAAACGAAAAACTACAGAGCCAAACCAAAAGTTATGACTGTATAACATGTCAGTATACTATGATGTAGAAAATAGTACAGCATAGTGGCGTGTAGCAAAACTGAGTATACTACATCAAAGCAAAGTAAAGTATAGTGAGTATGGCAGAGTGCGGTATAGCAAAGCATCGTATTGTACAGAAGTATAACGCAGCATCGGTATGTACAGAATAGTAGATGCACAGTATTGTGTAGTGTAGTACAGTACAGCACAGTACGGCAACTTACGGTATAGCACAGGAAAGTACCTTGGATTACAGTATAGTAAGGTGTAGGACGTAAAGTATAGCATAGTTCAATGTAGGGTAGTATAGTACCGTATAGGAAAGTAAGTATAGCAAAGTATAGTATGGCATAGTATAGTACAGTACACTACACCATATTTTGGTACAGTATAATATGGTAACGGATTTTAACGTGTAGTATCGTATAGGCATATACACGGTAGTGCAGTCCTGTGTATTCCAGTACAGTATTTAGTTTGACAATCTAGCATAGTCTAGCAATAGATTAGGATAGTGTGGTATAGTGTGTAGTTGAGCACGATAAAGCAAGTTTTTGGTGGACAAAAACTCCCCAAGCCCTAAACCAGTCAACCCTGAAACCCTAAACCAGTAAACCCTTAAACACAAGCCTGAAACCTTCAACCTTAAACCATAATTTAAACCTAAACCCGTCAACCCTGTACCTTAAACCGCAAAACCCGTAAATCCTGAAAGGCTATACCGTATACCACAAACTCAAGAGTCTTGTAGAGCCCCATTCCATTCCTATCTGGGAGTTTCCGACAATAGGGGACCTAAATATAGAACCCTAAATAGCAGGATCCTGCTTATAAGGACCCCAAATACAACCCTAAACCCTATAAACCCTAAACCCTAAACCCTAAACCGCCACTGCACTTTTAAAAAGAAAAACCCTAAACCGGTACCCCTTATTTTCGGAAACTCCCATCTCAAGGCGGCCTTGAGCATGAAGACATCCTGGCGACCTGCCCGGACGCGATGACTGAGGAAGAAGGTGGGGGTTTTCAGGTTCAGGTTCTATTAGGGTTTCGGGTTCAGGTTTCATCATGGTTTAGGGACTATAGGGTTTAGGATTTCGGGTTTCAGGGTTCAGGGTTTAGAGTCTGTAGGGATCAGCGTTTGAGGCTGAGGGTTTCGGATTTCGGGTTTATGTTTCGGAGTGAGGACGTAGGGTGTAGGGGTGAACATTCGGGATGTCGTAGTTTTGGGGGGTGCGGTGCTTGGATGGGTTTTAGGGGTTTAGAGTTTAGGATTTAGGGTTTAAGGTTTAGGATGTAGGGTTTAGGGTTAAAGGGTTCCCAGGGTTGTATAATAAGTCGTTTACAGGCGAAGAGCCCAAAGGTTGAGGCGTACGTGCTGTGGGTCAGTGATGTCGGGTCCTGATTAGTGTGCCCACCCCCACCCCAAACAATTGGAGAGTGCACAATACTAAACTTGACTGGGATTTTGTTTTGGGGGTCCCAGTAGATCGGTAGTAGTTAGTGTTAGTAATAGCATTTGTAGTAGTACTAGTAGTAGCAACAGTAGTAGCTCCGGGCCATCCACAGAATTAGCCATGCTTCCTTTGCACAAAAGGTTTGGGCTCCCTGAAGGCTTCACGTTAAACAGCCACTCGACATAACCCAAAACCCTAAACCCTAAACCCTAAACCGTGGCGAGCCCGCAAGCTTAGTCCTTTTCATTGGGTTTGTGTAGGCCTGCTTGGCTATCCCCTTGGAGAATCGATGGCTCGGCCTCCCCGCATAAGCGGCTTCGTCCGGAACCCGACACGTTGGGCCCCAGGGCCATCCAGGAAATTAGAGTCAGTATTAGTAATTAGTAGTAGTAGTAGTAGTAGTAGTAGTAGTAGTAGTAGTAGTAGTATTAGTAAGCATAGTTGTGCAGTGGTAACTTTTGTGGACCAGCAAAACAAGCAAAACAAGGCGGGATTAGAATTAAAAGACTTTGCATACTTGTGGATCAGCACATTAATCAAAACTCGAACCCTAAATTCCTAAAAGCCTGAACCCCACAGCCCATATGCCTTAAGCCCTAAACTCCTACAAGACTAAACCCCCAAAGCCCATATGCCTTAAGCCCTAAACTCCTACAAGCCAAAACCCCAAAGCCTATATGCCTTAAGCCCTAAACTCCTAAAAGCCAAAACCCCAAAGCCCATACAGTATGCCTTAAGCCCTTAAACCCCAAGTGGGGGTTTCCAAAAATAGGGGACCCTGATATAGCACCCTAAATAATAGGATCCTTGTTATAAGGACCCCAAAATAAGGTCCTAAACCCTAATGATCCTAAACCCTAAACCCTAAACCCTAAACCCTAAACCCTAAACCGTAATTTTCGGAAACTCCCAAGTC